TTGAAAAACTACATTAGAAAAAATTTTTTGGTATTATTATATCCAATTTGTAGTTCTCGCGCGATTTGCTCAATTAGTTTTGTCTTCAATTAAAGGGAATATTATAGTTTAGGACTTCGCTTTTTAATTTTGTCGCAGATTTGCCGGTTAGGAAGACATACGCCAATCTCGAAACAACTACGTGATGGAATTCTGCGCGTCGGGAAATCGACTGTGCAGAAACTGGCAAAGCAACCGATGGACGATTGGTTCAAGTTTTTGGGAGAAAATTACATAGGCGAACTATTGAAATTGTACGCTCAAGTGTGTAATCATCGATTGGCCCCGTATCTTACGCAGGTCATACAAGATCGCAGTTTGTTGGATCCCGGTGATTCTCAACCAGCCAATAAGCAGCAGCAACAGCAATCCACAACAATTCCCATTCCCGATACGATGCCAGCTACACCCGATGTATTAACGACAAAACCCGAATCTGTCGGTATGTCTCGTCGATAATCGCATTTTAGCGATATGATTTTAGCGTGTCTGCTCGGGTTGGGGTCTAGCGAGATTCGTTGCCTTTTGCAGAAGGGGAGAATCCGAGGAGCGAGACTCCCTCTTCGAGCACAGCGACGAATCAGACCACTACTAATACAACCGGTAATACGACACCGACCTCGCAAACCACAAGCAACACGACACCGATTACTACGACCACAGGCCCGGACGAGGAGGAGATCGAACCTCCAGCCATCGTTGTCTACTTTGTCGAACCTTTCTCCTTAGGCGGCACCGAGGATCCCGATCGACGACGTCTCGCCATTTTGGCTCTACTCAGAGCTTACTCTTCCGCGATCAATAGCATGCCTGAGAATATGAGATCAAATATTCACGTTCAGGTAATTAACCAAAATTCTAGTACAAAATCCCGACGATGAAGAATAAATAGTTTTAAAACTCAGCTGGTCAGTATTCTAAATTGTGTTTTTACGGCATGTTTTGACAACTGCGATTAATATACTTTCAGATAATATCCTTGGAAAGCATAATGGAATTGGGTCGAGCTCGAGAAAGGCGAAAAATTCAAGACGAGATGAGAGCCTTGGCGTTGAATGTCTTCTTGCAAGGGCGTCGATTATTGAATCATAATTCTACGGTGAAAAGCCTCACTGGTTTCGGTACCGCCGCCGCTGCTGATCTCTTCCTCAAGAGTAAAGATGTAAGACTTCATTGTTAGATTGATTGCTTGCTACGTGTTGTGAATATGATCCGAGTTTCGTTTATGCGCCGCGATATCAGCGAGAACGATATATAAATTGTCTTCACTCGTTTAGTAATATTCTTGCAATTATGTATCAGGAACGAAACAGAGCGTCCTATCGCCTCTACGCACCGGCCTTCGTGCTAGCACCACTGCGTGCGAAGAGCGAAGCTCCCGAATCGTTCGGCATGCCGAGACCCGAAGAATGCGCGGTGCTCTACTTGAGTTACTGTTTGAGCGAGGATCAGTCTTGGCTGTTGGCAGCCGCAACCGATGACAGGGGCGAAATTTTCGAGACCGCTACTATTAACATCGACATACCCAATAGAAAAAGACGAAAGCGCGCCTCGGCTAGACGCATTGGCCTTCAAAAGCTTATGGACTTTATATTGGGCGTGATGTCCCAAGGTGTAAGTAAAAGATTTATATAATAAATTTACATAAATTAAACTCAGCGATATCTGAATATTTGTTATTACAAATGTATACAAAAAATCGATTCGAGCTTCCATTAGTAATTTTTACTCTTATTAAAAACATTTGTTTTTTTTCAGTGCATATTATTCATTTTGTAAATACTGTCTCACATTTTGTATTATTATATTATTTTTATTGCAGGTACAACCATGGAGATTGGTTGTGGGTCGAGTAGGGCGTATTGGGCATGGCGAATTAAAAGGATGGAGTTGGTTACTTTCTAGGAAAGCACTTTTGAAAGCTTCAAAACATCTGAAAGAGATATGCGGACAGTGCAGTCTCTTGTATCCCTCGGCGGCACCTTGCGTACTCAGCGCGTGTTTAGTCTCGCTCGAACCGGACTCTACTCTGAGATTAATGGCCGATCAATTCACTCCCGACGAAAGATTCAGTCAGGCGTCTGTAAACTGCCAGTTATCCACACCTCAAGATGTCACATGTACTCATATACTTGTTTTCCCTACATCCGCTACCACTCAGGTAAGGAAATTTAATTATATATATACATAAGAGCCCAATTATATTACTTCTCGGATACAGTCAGGCTAAACACCGCTGTTGTTTTGACACTTTAGTCGTCGCAGACCGCATTTCAAGAGCAACACAACGTACCCGAGTTGGGAGACGACGAATTGTTTTCCGCTCTGAACGATGACATGCCGGAAGGCATGGAGGGAATGGGTGATTTTAACGATATTTTCAACGTTTGGCCTGAACCGGGCGCAGGTGGTGGACAGAGTCCAAGCGGAAGTCCGCATCGTCCGGAAGGTTCGCCGCATGGAGGAGATGGCGGTGGATCAGGCTTAGGCAATCATGACGGGCCTGGTAGCCCATTTCCGTGCAGCAATACGCCAAGAGTAAGTCATATATATATATATATATATATATATTTTATGAAGTATACGGCTGTACTATATCCATGTGTGTAAATTTATATGCAAGTTTTTATGTTATTCACAGATAGCGACGACTGAGCAAGCAGAAGAGGTTGGCACTCTCTTACAACAACCGCTCGCTCTTGGCTATCTAGTATCGACTGCGCCAACGGGACGAATGCCACCATGGTTTTGGGCAGCTTGTCCGCATCTTGAAAACGTTTGTCCGGTATTCCTGAAGAACGCGTTACACCTGCACAGTCCCGCGATACAACAGAACAGCGACGATTTACTTCAGCAACAAAACGCACCCACTGCTCATCCATTGGACTCGCAGTACACCACTGACGTGCTTAGGTTCGTATGGTATTCTTCATTTTAGCTTTTCAGATTTGTCGCGCGGAATTTGTTATCGACGTTATCGTGCAATGTACGTGATTGACAGGTACGTGTTGGAAGGGTACAACGCACTGTCGTGGCTTGCGCTGGATGCAAACACCAAGGACCGACTGTCCTGCTTACCAGTGCACGTACAGGCGCTCATGCATCTCTACCATGCGACGGCAGCTCTCGTCTGACCCACACCCTCTCCCGTTGTAGTGCAGTATATGCACCTCTCTCACGCACTCCTTATTGTACCGTCACTCGGGGCTTTACGAGAGCAACTGATTTCCTATGCCCTTTACCTATACTACATTAGTTAGGTACTTAGAGAGAAAGAGATTGTCTAGGTACAGAGTACGATCCTTCTCGACCACATGTAAAGAGAAACCGAGCCTTTTTTACCTCGGACTCTAATTAATACACAAGTTAGCGCAATGAAAATGCAACGGCTAAAAATGCAAAATCCGGTGAGAACAGCGACTCTCTTTACCATTTTTCTATTATAACAGGCGACATAGATTGTACTTTGTGTTTATGATCGTATCTCGTATTTCGTAAGGAAAAATGAACTGTGCATCCAATACGACCATTGCCAGCGAAAGCAAATATGAGACTTTGCGAATGGTAGAAGCGAAGATGCGAGTGATGAGAGATACTGTGAGAAAGAAAGAAAGAAAGATAGGGCAAGAGAGAATGAGAATGAAAGAGAAGGATAACGAGAGAAAAGTACGAAAGAGAGCACGCGCGAACGAACGAGCGAGTGAGAGAGAGAGAAAAGGTGTAAAAGAGAGTGCATAATAAGAAAATGATTTTCGATTGCCTCTCTATCGATAGATAGTTGAATTACAAATCAGAATCTCTAGAAAAATTACGTAACTAAAAGTTTTTAATTGTAAATTGAATTTTGTACAAAGCTTTTATTATTAATGACGACGAAGTAATATAAATGATATTACGTTGTTTTTTAATTTTATATAGATGATATAAAAAAAAAGAGAGGTGGACTTCTTTTTTATAAGCGATGCCTCGTACAAGCCCCTGGTGTGAGATATAAGTATGACGATTATAATATTATATTATGCTCGCGCGGCACTGGGTCGCTGTTATCATGTTTCCTGGACCCGTTAGCGCAATTTTTCGATGCTGTTTGACAAATTTTATTCGGATTAGGTGACCTCTATATATTATACATACATATAGTGTAAAATATTGTTTTTAAATAATTTATGAAGTGAGACATCGCCGAGATTAGATAATTGAGAATGAAAGAGGGAAATATCGCAAGAGTGTGAAAGAGAAAAAGAGAAAGAAAGCAAGCGAGAGAATGAGGAGAGAACGAGTCAGTTATGCAAAGATTGTTTTCCTCCAATTCAACTTTGAATGCAAAAAAAGAAGAAAAGACACGAAGAGCGAAATGTGGGGCGCGTCTGAGTGGAGCCACGGTGGCCAATTGCGTCAGTCGCATAGTACAAATATGACTTGTACATAGAACCCCTAACTCCCTAATTAATTGGTTAATTTACTCACACCCAAACTCACTCTGTATCTATAGTATTTATTACTGGGTAGTACGTCATTATTGGGATTATTATTATTATTAAAATTATTATTACCATTATTATATTAATATTACGAAATACAGTTTTATGTGTATATATATATATATATATATATATTATATATATATATAATTACATATGTGATTTCTCTCGTATTTGCAACGCCCAAGAAATTTTGTTGCAAGCACAGTAGAAACGCGTAGAAAAATGTCTTTTGCTCCTATGAACATATCACTTCTCAGAAAAAAAAACAATGAATAATTGAATCAGATTTTCTTTCGTTTGCCAAGCGATTGCTTGCATATCGAGCTTCGCGCGCACTAATATTTTTCTACTAATCTACATCTCCAATATGATATAGGAATATCAAAGTATTTTCTTATCCAACAGATACTTTTAAAAAGAAAGGAAAATATGGTATTTTCGACACATATACAATATGGCACTAAAATATGAGACTTATTCTGCGGATCAACATTTTATTATTTAGGAGTTTTAAGAAGTTATTATCACATCTCATCTTACAAATTTAACACGTGATTTGATGCTCTAAAAAATGATGAAATCCTGAATCTTCATGACGCATATCTATTGTGCTTGCACTATCTCCCTATCCTTTCTACTCTACACTATAGTTATATCCATTATGGCCGTAGTGTCCTGACTTTAATATAGATACGTATAAAGACCTCGTCTATTTAAGAAGTACGATATATCACACTTTATCCGCTGAAAGTATATTACAGTTATATCGTTGGCTCGAATGGACTAGTATCATGTATATAAAACAAGAATTATAGAACCTTATGATCTATTTACGAGTGTACGGACTAGTATTCGGTCAACGTCAACGGTCGGTCCGGAGAAGGTCTCTCCAGACTGTGATTGATGCCATATGGCCTCAAATGGTAAATTAGATACTCTAGAACGTACATCATGTTCGGTGACACGTAGTGGAATGAAACGGCACTGTCCGAACAGCAGTTCAAGCCATCCTTGGTATCGTAATAGATATACTTCCAATACCAAAAATTCTTGTCTACATGATTTGGTATCAAATGGTGCTCCGGCACGAACGGAAAGAATCTACCGCGCCCGTGAGGATCTCTGGTATCCATCGCGCGTACACCAATCTTTTCGAGACATTTTCCCATCTCCACGTCCTCCGCACCGCCGTTATCCGGTCGGCACTTGGTCTTGTCGGGTAAGCCCTCTTCCACGAATTTGCGTAAGCCTTCCTTACTAAGTACATATCCTGCGCCACCGCTCATGTAACCTTGTTTCACGAAAGGTTTAAATCTGCATCCGAAGTATAACGACGAATTTGGATTGTACGACGACAACATATATCGTAGATTTTCTACTACCACGTATCTGAAAGCATATAAATCCAAACAATAATTTATATAAGAGGGTGAATCAATAATTATTCGCACTCTATTTCTATAATTTATTAGAACAACAATAGAGAACGTACAATTACATCACTTTTCAACATAATCTCCATGCTTTTTAATGCACTTGTTCGAACGTTCCACAAGCTTGCATACATCCTCGGGGGAAAAAATGGGACAAATCGACGCCCTCTTAAGAATCCAAGGAAGTGAGATATGGACTACATGCAGGATGCTCCAATATAAAAAACTCAAGTTTCTAAAGCGTTTGAACAATGTGGACAGCAGTATGTGGGCGTGCATTGTTATGCAACAAAAAAACACCTTTCGACAATAGGCTTCATTATCATCGCGATTATCATCTGTTTGACCCATTTAAAAGAGATCGTCGATTTGATACAAACCAACATGTGCAAAAAGCGGCGCATGCATAGCTGAGAGATAAACCAAAAACATATTTTTCCGAAGATATATGCAGGTTTGTGGAACGCTAGAACAAGCGCATTGAAAAGCAAGGGGACTATGTTGAAAAATTATGTAATTGTACGTTCTCTACTGTTCTAATAAATTATAGAAATAGAGTGCGGATAATTATTGATTCACCCTCGTACATGTGTATACGATGTATACAATAAAGCAACTCCTTTGATTTTGTCGGACAGTGTTATTCATTTAAAATGACAGCTAATAACTATGAATTTTTTCTATCACATATTTTTATTTTTTTCTAATTTGATCGCTATGCATTTTTTGACACTGCTACTGAAAAAGATACCATTAAACATTTGTGCTACTTATTTTTGTACACTACGCCGTAAAGATAAAATTTATCGCAAAGACAGAATGTACACTACCGTTCAAAAGTTTAGAAGCACTACTTTTTTAAGAAAAACAAAACAGTGCACAGTGGTGCTAATACTTCCAAAGAAAAATGTCATATGAGAAACTTTACTGTCTGTTTTAACTATTCGACACAGTATTATTTGTTTCTAAACATTTTCCAAGGAAGTATTTCATTTAAAGAATTTTACGGAATAAACATGCTATTATTCTGTTATGAAGAAAAAAAAAGTTTTCATGGTTTTGAGTAAAATGTAATAAATATGCAAATAACAATTATTATATTTTACTCAAGCCATGAAAGCTTGTTCTTTCTTCATAACAGAATAATAGCATGTTTATTCCGTAAAATTCTTTAAATGAAATACGTCCTTGGAAAATGATTAAAAATAAATAATACTGCGTTGAATAATTAAAACAGACAATAAAGTTTCTCATATGACATTTTCCTTTGGAAGTATTAGTACCGTTTTTTTCTTTAAAAAAAATAGTGCTTACAAACTTTTGAACGGTAGTGTATATGCAATTAGTGACTACGTTGTAAAGATCGTGAACAGAATATACTTACGTATCGTCGTCGGCTTTCATGAACCAATCTACTTTATCTTTGTACTTCTCATAAGCGTATTTAAACGCTTCTTTGGTTTTAGCCCACAGATTATCTCTACCCTCCTTTACTGGCAACACTACAGTGGGTAAGCTGGCGTCTGAAAATGACCGGTATGAGTACAATCTTTTTATCTGTATATCACAATCTTTATTTTTATCTTATGACGAAATACCTGCCACAGAACTCATAAAAAGAAGTACATTGCAGCGTTTTCCCCATGTCGCTTTTACGTGACGAGCCTTGCTCTGATGATTTTTCGGACCAGTCATAACCCAGCAAAGAACACGCACTTTTTTCGCCATATCCTGAGCTATTCTATCTTCTCCTTTGTGAAAATCTTCATCATCGCCATGAAATTTTACTTCTGTTTCAGGACCAATCTATTAGAAAATTTAGCGATAAGATATAGAAATCATTTCACAATCATCTAATAGTTGTAAGAAAACATCATTTTTTTTTTGCATATACTTTAATCAAAAAAGAAAAAAGATTCTTTTAATTTTCCTCAGTGATCGGTTTGGTCATAACCAATCTATTTAAAATGTTGTAGCTTGGAACATAAAATATACCATTGCGTACCTCTGACTCCAACTCCGAATAATGATGAGGATCTCTGGAAAGGCTAGAACTACCTGGTACCCAACTGAACATGTGCGGTACATCTCTCGAGGATGTGATGAGCAGACATGCCGATAAAAAGCCGAAAACCATTCCAGCAGCGAGTGTCAGTATAAATCGCCGTCCACTTCGACCACCTGTGTAAAAAACTAATTACTGTATTTTCTAACTGCTATAATTTCACATTTACAAACTATGGATTAATACAAGATCAGACAGAATCAAACATGAGTTCATTTACAGGGACTTAGACACTTACTATCGAAACTAGGAAGCCGCTGCTGTACCATGATATATAATATAAATTGTAACTCAACTCAATAACGCTATAAATGCTTGAATATAAATTGCAGTCTCCTTCGCATTCATTTTTTCTCGTATAAATGCATGATATATTTTATCACTGCCCTCTGAAATATTATATAAAATATTATCTAATTTTATAATTAATATTAATAATAATCTAAAATGTTATATAAAAAGATATATTACTGTTTAGTGATTAATAGAAAAGAGAGAATATTGTGTTGAATATGTGAAATGGAGTAAATTAAACGCTTTTGAAGTGTTACAATACCTATATTATCTCACGACGTGTAAAAATCTATTTACTATTGAGCAAAACTTAATATCTTATCGCTATCGAATGGTTAGATTTATAACTATGAATCAGGAATAATCAGGTACAAAATTACATCTTTATATGTTATTATTGAAATGTCAATTGTTATAATACTTCATTTCAGTTCTCTTTCATGTAGCAGTTAATCGTTTCATAACATAGAAATTAATGTTGTTACATCAACTAGCCATTCCAATATAAATGTAGGCTGGATTCGGGGAGCGCGCTATTAGCGCTATTTGCTTGTTCTATCCTTGTTTTACACCTGATGAGCGATAAAGACAGAATGATGCAATAGCGCTAATAGCGCGCTCCTCGAATGCAGCCCTAGTTCATGTAAATTTTTAAAAAACCTCGCCTATTTTTTATTAACCCTTCGCAGAACATATATAATTTTGTTGCTTCCGTCGAACAACGTGGGTCTTTTTAGGCCAGTTAAGATTTTCAAGCTGTAATAGTGCCATAAAAAATTTGAAAAAATTTAAGTATACTTATATATGCCTGATTCTTGTTTAGGTTTTTTTTTATGAGTCCGTAAAGTCTCCGAAAAATTCAAAACTGAAATATCGACTAGGTCTAGCCCCACTTGTTCTGCGAAGGGTTAAGGGATTTTGGGCCATGAATGTACATACTTGACTATATGCATTTGTAGAGGAGGTTGATAGAAATAATAATAACATGGTCTGAAGTCTCAAAAACATGGGGAAAGATATTTTCTGCGGCGTGAATTTCGCATATTACCATATGTAATATTAGCTAATTGGCACTAAAAACTTTACATTATTTAACTTAAATATTATAATATTACTAACTTTATATAAAATAATATCCAGATGATTCAATGTTGTACGTCAATGGCCCACTTTGGGTGAGGTTCTTTATAAGATAAACTCATTATCATCTAATAATTTCGTATACATACCTGATCAACAGGATGTTTGATAACACGATAAACTCTTTAAGGCCATATTTTAAGCTCGTATATCAAACTTGTTACTCACAATAGGATAGATAAAAATGTGCTTCGCCGAGCACATCTTTTCTCTTCTCCTCTTCTGTTTTTAATCAAACAAGATTGGTAATGAGTGGTATGTATATGAGTATATCTGATATAATACAATTTCTTCTCCAATTCAGAGGACTGTATCTGAAATCAAAAGAATCTTGAAGACAACAGCCAGGAAGGTAAGAAGCGATGAAACTACTTGAAGACAACGCTACACTTTCACAATACACGTTAACTTTTTGAGTTAAGTACGCACTTCTTTCTCTGGACGTATGAACGGCCCGTCGTTGACAAGTGATCTTTGACAATTGTTTATGATCGTCGTGGCGATGTTAGATATGACCGTCGCCTTACTGATAGTACTGTCTCAATATTGCGGGACGTTATCTCCAAGCAGGCGAAGCGCGATTTATTACGAATGCATCGGTGCGCCTGAGCCTAGGTGCGAACACAGAAAATAGTAAAATATGCAACGCGCGGTCTGCTATTATGCAATGCCCTAATTACGCGCACATGTACACCACATGCGAAAACTGGGAAGAAGCACGTTCGACGCGAAGCGCGTTGAATAGAGGCGACACGTCAAGCAAGCGACGTTGCATTATCTCGAAAGTTGGCGAAGAGAGAGAAAAATGAGTCGTGCAAAAAAAGGTGGTGATACGAGAGCGCGGAACGCGGCGGGGAGGAAGGGACATTTTTGCGACAGTCATCTGTTTTCTTTTATTCGTTCGCGCTTATGCCAACACTGCTGACAAGTAACAGCAAGCTGCACGGCGCGCTCGTTTGTCAGCACGGCTTTTATTACTCTATTTGCGCAATTGCGCAAATATTGATGCGAACCTGACCGATATTGTCGCAATTCGATATCGTCGTCGCCGTGCACCTCGCGCGCGTAACGCAGAGTTTTCATTCACAAACCGAGGGTATCGTATCGCCCAGTCGCCGACGGTGCGCCGGGGAATGTTCGTCGCGCCTCGTCGCAGTGGTAGTCGCGCAGCTCATCGGGGAAGAATCCTCCTCGCCCCTCGAGTATCCACACTCGCGGTGCTCGCGGATCCGGGTACACAGTGTACACACGCGGATCCGGACCCGCCTCCTCGGAGAATCTTCCGAGAAGCGCGCGCTTATCGCGAGAACGTGTTTTTACCGCATCGGGAATGCCGGAACCGAGCGCCGTCCGCGTCGGCTCGCGGCGATCAATTACGAGATTAGACGGTGGAGTCGACGTGTCCGCATCTCTCCTCGCCCCGGCGGCCCCGCGGGATTTTACAGACGAGCGCCTTCGAGCCGCGGCGCCTTCGTCCCGCGTTGTCGCGAGCAGCGCGTGAACGGGCACAAAGGAATCCGCGAGCATTCAGCAGCGGCGATAACAATCTGCGATGATGCGCGCGTCGCGCGTCTTGCTCTCCCCTCTTCTCCCCCATCCCTCCCAGCCACCCTTCGCGAATCGCGATGAGCGTGCATGCGCGACGTGTCGCGTATGTACATACATACGTACGCGCTCACTGGTCGGAAAATGTCCGTGAAAAGGTCGTCTCCATTCTGACTCGCGGCCACCATGCCGTCGACCGTCGACTTCGTACTTCGTCCCGTATCGCGAGGAAGCGTCGGGGGAGGCGACCACCGCACCGGCGAGATACCGATACGAGATACGACGCCATCCGGGACGCGCGGTTGCGCGCGTGTGCACTGTGCACGCGCGCGCGCGCCTGTATACGCTGGGACGCCTGGGACGCGCGGCGTGTCGCGCAATGTCTTCATTATCGCGCGGAGATTAACTTCGTCGATTATTTCGAAATTACAGATTACAGGCGTTTCGCCAGCGTGTTATTTTTTCCGCGCGCGGACGAGAGGGACACGGGGCTGTCGTTACTTGTCGTTTCTCGATCGCGCGCGTTTATATCCCATTATATCCTCGACCTCTACTCTGTTATTTCGCGGCGGCGGGCGACAATCATCGTCGATGAAAATTATTGCCGTCGCGTGTACAGGACACGCCAAAAGCCAGGGACGGGAAAACGCGACGCGCTGTCGCGTTTTGTTATGAACAGCTGACGAATTTGAAATTCGACTCTGAAACCCTGAAGTCTGATAAAGAGAAATAATAACGGCGCAGATTGAAATTGGGATAATTTTCTGAATAAAGCATTCCGTGTGAATTTAAACAAACTTTATGTATCTTAGAATACAAAAAATAATAATAAAAATCATTATTCGACATTAAAAAGGCGATAATGATAATACATCAAAAGTAAATGCTTTTTGAGGTTAGGTGTCCGCCTTACCGACTAGATGAGGACAAACTAGTTCTCTGTAAGCGAAAATTGCGTGTTTTATTTCAAATTTAGGTTAGAATATATTTGATGTAATCGAATATTATCTTAAAAAAGTTTATATGCGTACAGTTTATCGCAGAAACCAGAATTAAAGCTGAAAATGCATAAATTTAATAGGCGATTTTCAATTTTCGAAGTCATCTTTTTCGAACACGCAATTGATGTTCCATTTTCCGACTTATATATTTTTTCAACTGTTTTTTAATCGTATCGCGACGACTGAAAACTTTTCGAATCGCGACCCGCGACGTTTGACGTTTCGAACCTATCGAAATATTCGAGACGAAATCAATATGGCAGCGCCGTGCGCGGCAGTGCGCGGAAGACCGATGTTGACGGACAAAAGTCACACATCGCGGTAACGACGCGACCGTTTGTCGTTTCGCGATGACCGCGAATTACTATTTCGCGATCGTCGGCCACGCCGACAATCCGCTGTTCGAGATAGAATTCAACAATGCCGGGAAGGACGCGAAGGTCCGTTCGTTTTTAGGTTAAGTTCCGCGACTCCGCATCGACTCCGTCGTTGACCACCCCTTGCTCTTCTGTTTCAGAAGGAGGACCACTCGCATTTGAATCAATTCATCGCCCACGCGGCGCTCGACCTCGTCGACGAGCACACGTGGAAAACGACGAACATGCATTTGAAAGTCGTGGATAAATTTAATCAGTGGTTCGTCAGCGCGTTCGTGACGGCGACCCACATTCGATTCGTCATGGTGCACGACAGCAAGAACGAGGACGGGATCAAAAACTTTTTCAACGAAATGTACGAGACCTATATAAAGGTAATATTTATTTATATGATATTGTAGGTTGGGCGGCAGTGTGGTCTAGTAGAGCGCCAGATTCGTAATCTGAGGAACCAGGTTCGAGTCCACTAGAGCCATGGAATGTTTTTCCGAAAGCTGCGCCCCTCCGTGCAAGATTGAGGCCCTTGTGCGGAGAAAACTGGGCTCGGTCTTTCGGAAAGAGACGTTAACCCATTGGTCCAAAGGGTTAAAGTGAGAGGAGAAGGATAGTATTGGTAGTAGATTGCGAACCCTACGGGTATATTGCAATAAATTACGAAAAAAAATGATATTGTAGGTTTATTGATTGATTGATGTTTGATTGTGTGACGCCGCATCAACAACTTTATAAGAGAGATGCTCATGACTGCTTCTCTGTTTCAGTATTCGATGAATCCATTTTACAAGCTCAACACTCCTATCAAGTCTCTGGGGTTTGAGAAAAAGGCACAGTTGTACGGCAGAAAATATTTATCTTCGTGAACGTAACGATTGCTGTTAACAAAAGTAGGGATGTTTATAATTTGCTTCTCTTTACTTTATTCAACATTTGTATGCCACAAAATGTGTACTGTTAACAAGCATTAGAAATAAAGGTGATGAATTTTTTTTCCATTAGCTCCAGTATCAAGGCATATATTAGAAAAAAAAGTGATTATTCATATTTTGATTTTGTACAATGTATATGTGTAAGTTAATTGCACTGTGTAATTGTTGAATTGTTTATATAAAAATTGCTATATAAAAAAAAACTTGTCTTATATAATATATTAACTGCTTTTTTATACATATAATGCATAAAACTCTTGCTGCATTTTCTATTCCGATCACGGATTCAGATCTCTTATCTGAAATATCAAAAAGAACATAATATATATATATTGCAAGTCAAAATAATTGGCAAATAAAACAAAATACAATATGCAGGTCATTATTTGTTATACCTCTTGTAATTTCTGCATTTCTTGAGTCAACAAATTATCCAAGATCTCCTGGAACCGTTGCTTCAGTTTGAAGTTTTCAATATTAGCTATTTCGACCTCCTGTTGCTGCCTTCTTTGCTGCAATTCCGCCAATTCCGCGTGAAGAGTAGCGAGACGAGAACCTGGATGTTTTTAAGTAAACAAAGTTAAGGAGAAGTGGAAACACCGCTTATTTAACCCGAAAACCGGCTTTTTTCCTCATGAACGGTCACCTGAGGCTACTTTTACACCCCAATTAAAAGTCATTGTTATTAATTACATATTGCATATTTTGGATTGGTCTACAATTTATCAGTATTTGAGAACAATATGTATATAGATTTACTCAACATATTCCGAAAAGAGTAAGGAAAAACCAAAAAAACATTTATAAAACGAAAGAAGCACATTAAAATTACCGTGACGTGAGCTTTTTTTAGACCCTGGGCTGTTTAAGTAGTTCCAGCGCCCATTCTCGGATTAAAATTACCTTTAGATATCGATGGAGGTGATTCAATGTAATCAGGAGCAATATCATCTGGAATAATATATTCCGAATGAAATTGCTCCAATTTGGGAACTTTTGGCGGAGTACTCTCGCCCTGCAGCTTCTCGGTTTCCATATCGCCGTTGTTATCATTGTGGAACATATCTTTACTGAACTCGGTAACTAGTCCACTGCTCGTCGTCGCGTTATTACTCGACCTCTCCGAATACGCGGCTTGCATAGAATTGGAGTCGGAAACTCTACTGTCCACCGAAAGTCGGCTGTTCTCGTCTAGCTCCATCACGTTTATGTTCGCCTCTTCGTCGTCGTCTTCGCTGTCGCTCACGGGCTCGCCAAATATATCGTGTTCAGCTGAAATACAAACCCATATAAAGCACATAATTCCTATATCTATAAACTTTATCTAAACCAACACTCACCAACATCCAGACTTTGAGATGTGTTCCCATTCATACTCTCCCGTTTAGTCTTAACTGTGCCAGACGATGAGACTTTGCTGGGTTTCGACGTATCTTCATCTTCGCATATCACTTCCCACTTAACATTAACAGCGTCATTGTCCACTCGCAACAGACGTTTAACCTCCTTCTCGATCTCCGGCGCCTCTACGTACTTCTTCTTCAAAGTTTTTCTAAATCTCCTGCGTCTCACGTTTTTAGCGGGCGGTGTTATACCATGAGGCCAAAGGAACTTCTTGTCGACCTTGTTTGGATCCTTCTTCTTCTGCTTAACAGGAGATTCCTCATCTGTCGCGGTATGATCGTCCTCCTCTTTACATAATAGCATCTGAAGAAGCGTTGCAGGAAAATAATGTAATATAAGCTCTTCGTTTTCTATATTATCTAATAACGTTCTTTCCATTTTTACCTGGCATATATCAGCAGTTTTATAAAAGCTTTTGTTATCGATGGTTTTTAAGGATTCCACTATCGTCGGCAGGTCCACAACCTAAGCAAAATTGATCAAATGTACAAATTCGTCTTCGTGATCGATTTTTATCCGGCGATTTAAATTGAACAGCATGATGCAGCAAAATTTACCTTAGTATGGAGTAACCAGTGGTCAATCCTAACCTCACCGTAACGCATATCGTTTTCCAGTTTTATAGTAAATCTATCTTTTAAAGGCAAAGTACTGCGTAAGGCTTCCCTCAGTACTTTGGCGGGTTCCTTAAAGAGAATTAATTCAGTATATATATAATTTCCGATTCTTTAATTCGTCTATGTGATCTCTGACTAGGTTAAGTTCAAATCGGATTACAAGATAGCATAATATAGGAAACATACCGGCGGTAACCGCATAATAAACTGACTCTCTAATTCAACCTGCAGGTCATTGCGATTTTTGTAGTCAGTATTCGGATGGCGATTCATTTTCTTCGGATTTTTACGCGATAAACGACTGAAATCGCCACGAAAACGAAATACGAACTGTTTATTGCTGTTTATTAAACGGACAACACCAACACTGAAACTGAACACCAGCGCGTGACCAGCGCTATTCAGTTTTGGTGGCGTACACGATAAACTTTTGAGAAACGTTTCCAGGGATGTCGATAATAGCATTTATGGATGGGAAGGAAAACAATATATACGAATATAAATATTATATAAATAATAAATTCAGAATTGACGACAGATTTTATTAATAATTTTATTAATATCATATAGTGGAAAGAACAGCAAATATGTAGTATAACGTTCTCCCCCCGTCCCCGATTCCTTTTCATTTTTTCAAATTTTGTGTATTCTTGGGTCGTAAAAAAGATTCTGAGAAGAAAAATATTAAAATACTTATACGCATCAAAGTATAAGCGGCATATATGCGGCATAAATTTATAAGTAGAGTTAATTATACATATATATTCTGAATTCTACTAATTACTATATAGACCAAAGTAGACTTGAAAGATATAGCATATGTATACATTATTATAAAAAATTGTTTAAATATAGTTTTTGAAAATTAATAAATTAAATAAAAAATTAGCATTATTATATTTAGTATGTTATTATAGATATTACAATAGTATTAGTGTCTCATTTTAATTTGAACCAGTCAAATATAACGCTATCGCGTAATTTTAGAGAAAAATGTTCCAGACAAAAGTTGTATGGGGGACATCTTTTAATTTAAAAAATTTGATCTTGGGTAAAGGCGTTATCATCAAATGAAAGTCAACTTAATTTTTTTAATAGCAATATACCATTTACAAACTATATACGTTTGTAACCATTCTCCATTACGAGTTCAACGCGTATTACTACGTTTACGCGAGCGTTATACTTTTGTTAGGATAATTTCTTTGCGTAAACGGGATTTTGTAGTAACTTTTACGATAATTTACTCCGCATAAATTAGTGAATTATCGGCGTAAGTTACTACAGAAGTAACGCTCGCGTAAACATAGTATATATATGACCCAATTACATATAATATATATATATGTATATATTAGGTCGCCGAAGGTCAAATGACCAAATGCGCGAGCTTACGATATTATTATCTCTGCCATTATAAGGATCAGAATAAACGAAAAGAAACGCCGATAAACGAAGCCATAGTCGAGTCGGGCGGACGCGTTGCTGTGTACGTACATACACACGACATATCACACAAAGAAACAGTTGAAATTAAGTGTTTTTTATCTTTTCCTAGATAAAGAACAAGAACGTTTTTTAAAAGAAACATTTTTTTAAACGTTTATCGAGGATATTTTAACTCATAACAAACGTTTCTTTAGAAACCGGTTATGAAACGTTTCAAACAAACATTTCTGAAACGAATATAATGTGCTACCTGAAACGTGATATCGAGATATCTGACTGTTCAAATTAAAATGAGACACTCTCTCAGTATATTAGTATATTATAAACAATGTTAGTATTATATATTAACATTTTATATATATGTCTTTGTTTTCCCTTCAAATTAGACAAAGATGGACATATGATTTAACTATTAAAGACTATATATTACACTTAACAAAATTTATAATAGTCGGAAGGCCGTAGGAAAATTGACCCATAACAGATTATTTTTCGACTGCGAGGAGGATATAATCGACTGTGATTGTTCAATTTCCTTACGGCCTAAATTTTGTTACGTACAATGGCCTTTAATTAGTTTACCAACAAGTTAGAACAACTGGGCCGATTTCACCGTCTCCGATTAACTTGATCCTTCGATTAAACTCACTCTTCATCTCTTTCTAACTTTCCTCCTTATGTTTATTTAATTATTTTTATCAATGTAAATTAACCTTAATCTCGGTTTAACTTACGTTTTATCTTTTTTTAATTCTTAGAAGAGAGATAAAAAGTAAATTAAACCGAGATTAAAATTAATTTACATTGATAAAAATAAACATAAGGGGGAAAGTTAGAAAGAGATGAAGAGTGAGTTTAATCGAAGGATCACAGTCTCTGATTAACTTGATCCTCCGATTAAACTCACTCTTCATCTCTTTCTAGGAGGACAGTTAGAAAGAGATGCAGAGTGAGTTTAATCGGAGGATCACGTTAATCGGAGACTCGATATTGGCCCTTTTTAGTGTTGATGATACTAAAATGTCCGAGGCTAACCGCTCTTTCCTAATCAATATTGCTCGATTTACCACGAAGTGACGTCAATATATATATAAATTATTTCGAAGCTCGGGGCGATTTAACCAGAGAATCAATTATATATCTTAATATATCTCTAAAGGCTCAGTATATAAAATATTAAACTCGATTAGGCAATAAGAGCCAAGCGTAGATTATCTTCGCTAAAATTTTTTTAATAAAATGTCAATCAAATGTCAATTACAATACGTATCTATCTTAAAAAACGAGGTGAAAATTACAAAAGTAAACAGATTTACTAGATTTCGACAAATAAAATTGTAGATACTCTAGTGAATTTCTTCGCACTTTTGTAATTTTCACCTCGATCCAAGATACACAATCGACCCCAATCGACCCTCAGGTCAACTCTGGTCAACTCTGGTCAACTCGGCCTTATATTCTCCATATGCTCCGAGACCGCGTTCGTCTGCTACGCTCGCGCTGGTGCGCATGTCCAGGATTCGTTCCCACCAATCCCACCATCTCGAATGTATACTGTATATATACATGTATTGTATGTATGTACATACATATACATATACTGGTCACTGTACTCCGCGGCCCGCGCGGGCGAGTGACAGGGCTGGACAGACAGGCTGACGGCAGTGACGGCACTGACAGCGGATCCGAGATCCGAGTCATTCGAGCTCCGGGCGTAACGCGGCCGTAACGACCTGTTACCGCGCGGACGCGCTGGAGGGAGCGGAACAAAAACGCGACTTCCTATGCCTGGCGCGGCAGTGAGTCATCGTGAAAGTGCGGGATCGCTGTACAAGAGCGGGACGACTCTCGGGAACGGCGTCATGGAAGTCCTGGATCCGAGCGTCTCCAGGGACGATCAGCCGCTGTGCGTCAACGATTCTCTGGAGCCAGGTATTATCCCGACTACCGCGAACATCCGCGTTCCTATCGTCCGCGTCTCCGCTGGTCTCCGCGACCGTCGCCGTCGTCGCGTATATCGTTGTCTCCGTTCACGTAAGTGCGTTCGTGTAATTAGTTTTCCCCCGCCCGCGCGCGCGGGACAATCGATGTCGCATTGTTTGAAAACAAAGGGACGATAACGGCAGGACGAGGCGTCGCAGATGTTCGCGAGTTATATCGCGGAAGTGGAAACTGTCTTGTTATCTATTAGCGTCAATCTCGCGACCTCTCTTTCCACCTCCGCCCCTCGCGAGAGACGTCATAAACGCGAATACGTCAGATTTATTTTATGCTGAGTTATGTCGCTACTTTTTTTTTTGCCTTACTGTTTTGGCGGAACAGCAGGGAGATGAATAATTGATTATTGCCTTGGAAATATTAAATTAATATTTAAGAATGTTAGTGATTGTGAAGTTGCAATGCATTCGCTGTTAAAGTTTTGGTCACGCGTGTTTTGGGCAGATCTGTTTTTGAAAGTTTTTAAGGCTTCTCTGTTCGCTCACTGCAGTCATCTCGGATTGATGACATCAGAAACGAGAAAAACATGAAAATTTTTGCGACGTTACATTAAAATAAAAATGTATCGCAATAAGATAGCGTTTGTAATCGATAGAATAGACTTGTAAAATATACCGAAAACTCCCCTTTTGATTGGATAATCCACATGTCGAATTGAATTGTGCTTAATCAAAGACGAGAACAAGTTGGTAGTTGCCGAATTGAAATGAAAAAATATTTGCTTTCACATATTAAATTATAACAAAATAAGAGTCTTCGGTGTATTTTAACACTATGATTATTTTAAATATATATAAAATTTTAAATATAAAAATTAAAACAAAAAACGCGGTATATCGCGAGAATAATTTAGCTTCTTTTATATCAGTTTTCACGCTTTTTAGTTCATAATTTTGCCAGGTGTGACACTGTGTGGCGTTTACTTTGGTTTACTTGGCAATCGAGGCAGCAGGAGCCTCAAGAAATTAATAATATGGACAGATCTGTTTGATAGCTTTATAATAAATATCGTCTCAAATCATCTAAATCATATAAAAGATTTAATCTTGTTCACTGATGAATCCTTTTAACACCAAAATACCCCCTTCCACAAAAATTATCTTTGCTATAGGTCTGTTTAAAAAATATAGAGAAAAAATGCATTAAGGGCCGATTTCACAGTCTCCGATTAACTTGATCCTCCGATTAAACTCACCCTTCGTCTCTTTCTAGGGAGACAGTTAGAAAGAGATGCAGAGTGAGTTTAATCGGAAGATCACATTAATCGGAGACTGTGAAATCGGCTCTAAATGTTAAAAGAGGGATCAGAAATTTTACCACTTTCTCATCCTGGAGTAAAAGCTAAGCGTGATAGTAAAAAAAGAATATCAGACCAAATAATTGTACCGAAACACTCCCCATTATCGGCGTCATGATCCGCTAATGATTTTCTTTAGCATAGATTAATGTTCTTAGAACAACCAAGAACTGAATTACATAACTCAAGATCTTCTATTCTTTTTTAAGACTGTTCATAATATATTTCAACTTCTCTATTGACAATATAAGTATGCTCATAATGTAATATTCTTTCAGTTAACACATCGCAGATTCCGCCAGATACCACTTCATGGATAAAAGCGCGTCATACTCTCGGTGCCCTGGGCTTTCTTGGCTTCGCCCTTGTATATGCTATGAGGGTCAATTTATCGGTAGCCATTGTCTCCATGGTTAACCAGTCAGCGATTCCGCACACCGATGATAACGATACTAGTGACGTTTGTCCTAAGTATACACCCAAGATAAACCTGACTTTCGTACCGGTAATTCGATCATTGTTTTCTTCAAGTAGTTCTCTGAATCTTCATATATTACATTACCTTTATGCCTCTTGTATTATTCTCTTGTTATTATGTCATTAGATATGAGTTATCACACATAGTGTTAGTCATTCAAACTTATCATGCTGAAACATAAATGTAACACTATACTGTTTCTTCTTTGTGTTAATATATGATGATATGGATTTATCTCACTAGTACCTCAACATTTGTCACAAAATTTGTCAGAATTCTAAGATTTGAGATAGTATACAAACTAAATAATGAAACTAATTATAAACTTGTTATAACTTTTCCGTTATTTCTTAATTTATTTCGTTAAACATTAATATCGTCAAATATATCATTTAAGACTAAAAAAATTTCTTTTCTTAGTATTCGAACAAGAGAAATGTGTCTAAATATTATTTTAATTTGCAGTAGGTATCTTAAATATGTGGCACAACTTTTTAATCAAGTCTTTTCTCAAGGCAAATTCGTATATTGTAACATTTTTTTTATTATTTTACATTTTGAAATTAATTTCAATGTTATTTCAGAGCGCGGGAGAATTTGCTTGGGATGAAAAGACTCAAGGCATTATATTAGGCGCATTCTTTCTCGGCTATGTAACTACAAATGTTCCGGGTGGTAGAATGGCTGAGAAAATGGGCGGCAAGTTAGTTTATGGTCTGGGAGTATTTCTGACCGCTATTCTGACCGTGATAAGCCCATTCGCCGCGTATTGGGGTCTGGTACCATTTTTGGTTGTACGAGTTGCGGAAGGATTTACTGAGGTAAATGTTCTGTTTTCATAACATATGTCTGTATAGAAATTATTAATATTTCTTCGTATGATACGTAGGGAGTAACGTTTCCTGCGATGCACAGTATGCTGGCACATTGGGTACCCCCGTTAGAGAGAAGTCGATTTGCTGCTACAGTATACGCAGGTAATTTGCTTGTTTTGCCTTATGATGGATAAAAAGAATGCTCAGGGATACTTACAATACTTTTTTCAGGTGCGAATTTTGGAACTGTCGTCTCATTACCAGTGAGCGGCTGGCTATGTTCCTTAGAATTGTGGAACGGTTGGCCCCTTGCATTTTATTTGTTCGGTAGTCTCGGTCTCGTGTGGTACATATTCTGGTTGATATACATTTACGATACTCCATCGCTACACGTGAGCATCGATCCTGCCGAAAAGGCGTATATCGAAGCTAGCGTCGAAAAAAAGAACGAGGTCAGTATTATATTTAATACGTAAATGTTTCCGCGAAGTTATCGTGTTTGACTTAATGATCGAATAATTTAAACAACAGGACGATGACCCAGGAGTACCTTGGCTGTCCGTCTTTACCTCTCTACCTATGTGGGCTATTACTATTACGCAGTGCGGCCAGGCCTGGGCCTTCTACACTCTTCTGACCGACCTGCCGACGTATATGGACAAAATTTTGAATTTTAATATACAGCAGAACGCAGTTTTCTCAACGTTTCCGTATTTGAGCGCTTGGCTGATGGGTCTTCTTATCTCGATGTTCGCGGACATGCTCCTCGCTCGTCGTTTGATCTCACCTCTGGCTTCATTCAAACTATGGAACACGGTGGCCTCGGTGGGGCCCAGTCTCGGTTTTGTCGGTGTTATCTGGGCCGGATGCAATCGTAGAATGGTGATGCTGATGCTCACCATGCTGGGATCTCTTCAAGGCGCGGTGTATGCCGGAAATCAGATGAATCACATCGCATTGGCACCACGTTACGCGGGTACCCTGTATGGATTGACGAACGCCGCGGCCAATGCGTGTGGTTTCTTGGCACCGTATGTTATCGGCAGTATAATACAGGGACATGTTAGTATATTCGTCGCATTCCTCGTTTCAAACGTTCATTAGGCTGCAGATGTACATATGTTGTTTTTTTTTCTCTTGCATTACAGGAAACCCTCGCACGCTGGCATATAGTCTTCTGGATGGCAGCGGGAATAAATGTGGTTACTAATTGCTTCTATTTGATGTTCGCGTCCGCAACTGAGCAGCCGTGGAGCAAGGGCGGCAGTTGATGACAATGCCGCGTTAGAAGTTTAACGATATTAAATGTGGAAAATAATATACTTTTTAATCATGTTGCACATAGTACATTTTAATTTGGCTGGCCAGTTTTACATAATTTGATATGTATTTATCATTCATTATTATTTTGAAAAATAATTTATTTTCATGGCTTTTCTAAAATTATAATTGTATTTATCGTTGAGCGATACATGCAATGACAAATGAATCAAATTTCAGTATTATCAAGTTTATTACTGACACACAAAGGAGATAGATGTCGCCGACTGGCTTTTGCATCAGATAACTGGGATTGAGTAACATATTTTTCAACTCCCCATTTTGCTTCACCATTTTATTGATCCAGCTATATCTTGTCTGGATACATAAAAAGGTCTGCAATTCCATGAAAAAATGAAATTAAGTAAAATCGCTGATATTGATGTGATATACAGGGTGTCCAATGGTACAGAAAAAATAATTGTATATAGTAAATCAAAAGTGTAGAGTAAAATGTTTTCAGGACTTTGTTTTTGAAGAAATGACTTTAAAGAAAAATTATAGGAAAATTAATATTCTTATACTTTTTAAACATGGATGATTAGCGACGACACTACGCACATAATGCTGAACTCATTTTAACGATTATTAATAAATAACGATAATAAATATTAATAAATAATAATAATATTATTAATAAATAACGATAATAAATAAAAAAGTGTAACATTCCATTTTTAATAAAGCGATAAGTTACTTAAGAGATCATGTAGAAAATATTGAGATTATTTTTATTTTTTCGATAAAATTTTGTATTTTTTTATGCATGTTTGCATAGTTGCTTTTGAGACAGTTTGATAATTTATATGATATAAGATCGATCATGGGAAATCATTCAAGAAAAGTACAGATGTTGAATTTTTAATTTTAATATGAATTTTCTTAAAAATAAAGTTGTACGAAAATATTATATTCTACTCCTTTGATTTATTTTTACATATAGAATCTCTTCTTGTACCAGTTATAGACATCCTGATTATGGGTATAAAACAGCATTTAATTTTATAGATAGAATATATATATATATATATATATATATATATATATATATATATATATATATATATCACACGCAACAGTATATACAGTAGACCAAAAACTTTGCCGTTCAAAACATATATATATATATACACCTCTTTTTTATTATTATATTTGATAAGAATCATGTATATGGATGATAAACTAGAAAAAAAGCAATTAAAATTATTAGCAATGTTATTAAAAACAGTATATAAATATTTTCTATTTATAATTTAATAAGATATTTGTTATTATCTCTAAATATTTTAATATTAATTCATGGCTTTAAAAAACAAAAGTATTAATTATTTTATAATGCCAAAGGGGAAAGTAAGAAGTAAGGCTTCTCCTTGATGTAAGTGAAATTGTAACAGTATTAATATATCATTGATGTATAAATGTCTGATAGTAAAGTATATATAAAAATGATATATGGAGGCAAAGAAGTGATTTTGTCATTCAAAACAGCAGGATATATAATTATTCACAGAAATTTTGCTTTAAGTATTTCGATATGAAATAAGTAGAAATCGTTAGCGATTACATCTAACATGACAGAAAAGTAACCCACATTCTATGCATGTACATTTTTAATCTACTTAACAATATGTTTAACATATTAGCAATAATATGTTTTATGTTTAATATGTTTAATATATGCATAAATATGTTCATGTGCATACTGGTATGCAAAAAATGATATATTTGTGTTTTAATTTACGATAAAAATATAATAGTTGTCTCATGTGCAATATTTATTATACAAGAAATTTTCTTGAAATATAATGATCATGTTGAATAAGCAATGGATATTTGTACAATAATGATATAATTATTTATATATAAATTTTCTGATCATATATCACATATCTTCAATAAATTTTGTTATGTTAAAGCATACACTGTGCCGTTTTTGTAATTTTCCTAAAGCAAGAACACTTCAAAACATCTATTTTTTATTTTATGTAGCAAATAGAAATTAAAACATAATTAAGAATAAATTGATAGATACATTCACATAAAAATGTAGATAAGAATAGAAATTTATATTGATCAATTCATTTACATTTCCCATATTTATTAATAATTCTAAAATGAAAGGATTGCTAACTTGAATTTATATCGTCTTTGTTTTTAGCAGTAAGTTCAAAGATCATATCTCGCATGCGACTCAATTCTTTCAATTCCCCTTTCATTCTTTGAATATTCCTTTCCTTTTCCGATATAGTTTGCTCATATGTTTGTAGCATATGTGTCATTTGTTGATTTTCTTGCTTAAGCGCAGATATATCGCTTTGATTTGTTTCTATCTCCGCACTCTTTTCCTCTAAGATCTACAATATATGAAATATAATAGAATTTGCTTAAAACTTTTTTTTGTCAAAAATATACAAAGAATTACTGTACCTGTTCTTTCTTGCTAAGAGATTCTTTAACCTTTTGTAAAAGTTTACTTAATTCGTGATTTTTATTGCCCATGTCCATAGCCTTTGCTTCGGCGGCTAAACGTTCATTATCTAATTCTTTGACTTTTTTGCTTAATATATCAATTTGATTGTTACAAGCTTTTAATTCTTTTGTACATTGTATTAGTTTTTCATTTAGATTCTCCACATTTGTCGACTTCTCTATCACAATTTTTTTCAAGGATTCAATCTCCTAGAAATGCAGCAAAAATACAATAGTATAAAAACTACTATAAAAATCTTTCTTAGAGCTGCATATCTCATACATTCATGATAAATACTAACTTGTTTTTTTATAAGAAGCGCTTTCTTGGATTGATCTTCCATTTCGCTAAGCTTTCCCGCTAATGCAGACTTTTCAACTTTAATTCCTTCCAAACATTGTTGAGTGTCAAACAATAACTGATGTAATCTACTAGATTCAGCTACTACTTGCGCTAATCTGTGTTGGAGACTAGTAGCATGATTATTCGCTGCTTCTAAACTTGATTGCCACGCCCTTTCAGAATGTCTCATTGCTGCTAACTTTAAAGGAGTTAGTTACAACACAATAAATAATATCAAGCTGCACTGTAAATATAAAAATACATATATTATATCATACATATATGTGCATAATTTTTTTCACCTTATATTCATATAATTCCATTACTGCAGACGTTGAAATATCACTTTGATTCGATTCGAAAGTCGATTTGAGCTTAGCTAAGAATGCATCGAGGCGCTCTTCTTGTGCAATGGAAAATAACGGCGCCAGTTCATTCCCGGCGTAACTCAAGGATACTTTATTTGTGACTTCCAGTATGTTGCTATTAGTACTTTGAACTAATATCAACGGTTCTAATTCTTTCATGCAAAGTGCCACTGCGGAAACACTTGTCAAACAGAAATTCCTTATGTACAACTGTCACATATTAAATTAGGATAAACGTCTTATCGCATGTGAAGAGCTTACCATTCTTGTGGAAATCCAATCGACGATGTCAGCTGCAAGACTTTCTGCTTAACTTCTCCGTCACCGGTGAATAATGCTAGCGCTATTATCATTTGCATTTGTTTTCTACTGAGCAATTCGGAATACAGTGTTAACCAGTTGGAATGATTTGCTGCCAAGTCTGCTGTTAAGGCTAACGCATGAATGTAAAGATTGGTAGAAACATTCTGCAAAGTTTGAAAATATATATTCAGTACAGCTAATATATTTAACACGTGCTGCACATATTTTGTATTAAATTCTGTATTAAACCTGGATAAAGTTCCCAGTCCAATCTCCAGCAGCGGAAAAATCATTATCCAGCACGTGACTGAACAGTTTGCGCATTGCATGTTCGCTGAAGGATTTCATAATCTTCTTTTTCAGCGCAGGAGTTTTAATCATTTCTTGAAACAGCTGCATCAATTCAGCTTGCTTCATTTCCATTTCTGCGTTTCGACCCCCATTTTGCCCATTAATGTTGTCCTCTGGATTCGTTATAAGCATAAGGACCGACGGATCTAGCTCCGTTAAAACTTCGGCAGAGGTCTTGGTGCGTCGGGAATCAATTATCACGCTCCGTATGAGCGCTAAAGCTTTCGAACATACCTACATTTGTCAACAGAAACTTCGATTAAATTGCTGATTAATTTCTCGTACCTGTCTTTTTTTTTACTATGTTTTGAACTGCCATGTTAATAAGAGTTACGATAATAGAGATTACGTACTTGTTCCACAGGCACCCATGTCATAGCTGATTTTATACACGCGGGATACAAAGGCGTTAAGGCAGTTAATTTCAGCTTCACTAATGACAGTAAAAATTCCATCATAAGGGCGACGCATTCTGGATCCGCGTTTTCTTCCAAAGTGGCCAATATATTTTCAATATCTTTGCCATAACTAGTCAATACCGAAAATTTAATGTGTCATTTTTAAAACATTCCACCCATTATTACGTCACGTAAGAACCTGATTTAATCGACTTACTTTGAATATGTGAGCAGTGCATTTCGCGAATGCTCGTTTTGTCCGACATCGTTAAAAAAGTCGACGATATGTCTCAATAATAAAACGTCCTTCTGTCTCAGCGCTGTTCTGAGATTGGCAAACGTCAGCGACGCAAAGTCCATGATATACTTCTCAGATATGTTTGTATTAGTCGGCTCCAATATAATCAATAATTTGCAACATTGTACACTAGTGTTGAAATGATCTTGGAGTTTCAACAACGTTCTGATAAATGCTTTAGTATTGACGGTCCGCATCAGCGTATACACCGCCGGAAGATTTTTATAACACAGATTGACCAGCACACCTAAAGAAAGTGCGATAATCTCTTCTTCCTTTGATTGTACTACCCATTGAGTTAACGTTGAAATTAAATACGGAAGATGAGCCTCTTGCCATGATATCTTAATTCCATATGTTAACTCTTGCAGTAATTTCAGCACTCGTATCCTCTTTTCAGTCGTCAGATTTGCCTATACGCACCCATATAGGAACAAAAATCCATCACGTTAATTTGATCGTATAATATATTTCTAATAATGTCGATTAAATTCCATACCTCCAGTAATCTCGCTAGTATCGGAGCAAATTTATACGTATGGATGAGCGATTGTCTGGCAGGTACGTTCCGGCAAGCATTTTGCAAAACATCTACGGCGCTCCAGATCAAGGTAGATCGCGATCCTAAGGAGTTCATAAGCTCGTACAGGCTCAC